GGGGGGGGGGGGGGGGGGGGGGGGGGGGGGGGGGGTATTAATTAAATATGCTCAGAAACAGTTCTTAGAACATTGCATGCATCTGTTTAATTTAAACATAAAATGTACTTGTCAAATGTGAGTATATATAATTTGTCATAAACTACAAGTTAGGAGGCCTGTAGTCATTCCAAATTTTGTTAATTTGCTTTCTATTTGTATGAAAAATTTATATATCTAAAAATGTTTATATGATTGCATCATTGGTAGATCAGACACATTACAGATGAAACCTATAAGGAAAACAAATTGTGAGAGAAAAGAAATACAGAGAGTGAGTGGAAGAAAGAGCGGAGTTATCTATACATTTGATATGATATGGCTGTGACATATTTATCTACGTATATTTTATTTAGTTTTTGATCTTTATGATTGTAATGAATCAACAAAAGTTACATAAAAACTGAGTTTACACATATTAGGAATCTGCTATTCTTAGATTTCAATCACGCTCAAATCAGATTTTCATCTAGTGTAACAGATGTTATTAACAGTTATTAAATGTTACAAATAACAGTTAATTTTAAAACCAAACAAAAAAAATAAAAAACAAACTTGTTGTAAGCAAATTTTTACAACTATCATTTTCTCATATCCCGCTCTTTAGAAAATAAATTCTTCTTATATAATGAATTGGCAAGCAACTGGAAGTCAGAAATGTTTCAAACATATTGGAACATTTCTTTGTTGGAATACAATGCTGAGTGCATGGTATGATTTTGGTCGATTTTATTTCCATTGTTTTGTCCAATTATCTTCTACACAAGCTTTTTGGAAAATATTTAAAACATATTCAACAAATGCACATCACATACCTTCATCCTATCAATCCAGACATCCAATCAAAATATTCCTTCGGAGTACTTCGTTGTTGAAAACTGGCCAAATAATGCATTGGTGTTTAAAAAAAAAAGCTTAAACGAGTTTATTGTCTCCCCGAAAGAAGCAATATGACATGACTATGTTGTCGATGAGTAATTGCCAAAAAGCGAGTCCTGCTTGCAAGTTGAATAAAGCTGCCATTATGGTTGATTTAGTACCGTTTCGTATTATTATTGGCCATTGCATTGGCTTTGCAGGCCCCTCAGTGTACATCATTTTACTCTGAAGAGTATGATACTATAACTTGGTATTGTGTAGATCACTATATTTTATTTTTACGCAATGTCGCTTTATGTTTTATATATTTATATATGTGTATATCTATTGTAATGTAAATGTTAAAGCTGTTAATTATGGCTATATAACTGCCTAGTAGTTGGCGATTTTGTTTAATTGCCAGCTAGGTACTGTTTCGCTTTATATTTAAAATTGTAATTGACGACTTTTGTAACTTATAACTCTATATCTACATAGTAGTTGATGATCTTTGTTAATTACTAAGTATCGCCTAATACATTATATATAGTTGTTGATGTAATTTATTACTTATCGCCCGATAATTACATTATTACTGACTGACTGATCTTTTGTTACTTATTTAAGGACTAACATGTATCTTATTAATATTAATGATGGTATTCAACACAGTTCCGTTCAAACATTTGAAAATAAATATGATGTGCGGTACCGCATACCCCAAAATGCAAACACAGATATTACAAATACAATGTATGCATTTCAATCCTCAGTTTTTTACGTTCAAAAGAACAAAGAAAATTATATATCATTTTCCTGTGAGATTTCTTTCGCTTCTTGATACATTTTATACATTTACCAGCCTGTTACATTAAATGGTAGAACAGCTATTTATGAAGCAAAAATGTCATGCTTCTATGGCTAACAGTTACGTCAGGTGGGAAATGTCAATCGAGAACCAGTCGAAGATTTCCGTCCTAATGTTAATTTGACTTAATGCCATCATTGATTTCCGGATACTCAAATAGTGTGATGGAAGGACCTGAACATTATTCGACTGGAAATAGTTCTTGCTATTATTGGGTTATATGTTTAGTTGGTAGAGCTACAGTATATAAGGACTGTACAACAAATATTAATATCACCTGATATTTACATTAATTTCTGCATTGCCAGTAAGCCAGTTGTTAATTTGATGTCATTAAATTGCAACACTTAAAGCACAAACTTGGAGATAACTGGTCGACACATGCTGGTAACTGTTCATTATTTTGAAAATCTGCCTTAAATAAAATAAAAATATCAAAATCCTGTCAAACAATGAAAATATTTAGATATGTGTCTGCAATTCTGTTCAGAATTATAGGACCATAACTAAGAACGGAATGCATTAAAAGTTTCTTAATGACCCATTTCTGCATTGTAGTTGGCCTTATAATTCCATTCTGGTGAACCGTCTTTGTTACTTATAAATGTGTTACTTATATAGATGTCGTAACTCTATGGTTATATTTTAATGGACTGTTTGTATGTGCATTACTCTACAGCTGTGCTACTTGTTGATGCTTAACACATTGACACGGACTTTCTGTGTTGTCTATGGCCTTTTATCTACTTCGCATGATAACAATATTGTTGTCAACGGTATTACATGCTAATGCTGCTTTTTAAGTTGCGTGTAAAAAACACCAGCAAGACGAAGACAAAGTAACGATTTGTTGCAACACATGGTCATATCGTTCATTCACGATTCATCATTAGTAATATATATCTGTAGTGTTTGGAGCATACGTAGAAATACAGCAAAACGTGAAGTGTGTCTCTTAAACCCTTTGTAACGTCATTCATCCACAGTTTTTAGGCTATAAGAAATATTTGATTATTAAACTGTTATTTCAGGTTTAAAGTGCCAGTATAAATCTTGGTTACAAAAAAAATAGCAAGTTGTAAATGAAGACAATGTCACTTGTTAAGTTGGTGATTGATGAAATATTAAACTATATGGAGAACTATATACAGCTTCACTTATTTTTGAGATCATATGTATCCTATCTATAACGACCTGTATGAATCGTTAAAAACTAATAAATGATGAAACTCTACGAAGGATGAATATAAGAAACACAAAGATCCTCCTCTAAATTTGTTAACAGATACAGTGTGATAAAGATGATTTACACTACGCCATACAGCTGTTGTGTCCTTCTGGAACTCATCGCTTATATTAGTGGGCAAACAATGAGGAAATCTTAAGAGGTCTAAACTACTGCTGTAACAAAAGAGGAGGTGTGTACACCTATACTGCATGGATTTCAAGAAATAGAGTCGTACTGGTAAATTGTAAACTAAAGAATAAGTAAAGTGACTTTGAACATGGGTGACCGACCTATTTTCTTCACTTTGACAGGTGACAGCATTTTGGGTTAATCATGGAATATGGGATACCGTATTCTTCATGATTACATGGTTTCATCTTATATTGTGTTGGAGGTTCGTTATGTTTTTCCGTTTGCTTTTTGTCTCCTCTGATCATGTTGACGATTTCCGAATCAACTTGTG